ACACACACACGCTCTCCTCTCTTGTTGAGGGCGAGCTGCACCGGTTGAACGTCTGCCCTCCACGCAGAGGGTCAAGGAACAGGGCAGTATCTCCAGAAGCGTGCCTTACCGTTCATGGGTTCGCCTCAGCCCTTCTTGTGGGCATTCATGACATGTAGGAACGAAATACAAAAGCAAGAGCAGGGGGGGGGATGCTTTTGCAGGCCACTAACCAAAAAACAAAAATCGTCATACAATACGCGAGCTTTCATGGGTCAAGACCATCCACTTCGCCCGGCTTGGACTGGTGTGAAGAAAAATTGCATAAAATTGCATTAAAAGTCCAAAAATTCTTGGCAAGGTGAATGTCGACAGGCAGGTCTTTCTTAGAAAGTTTGAATATTGTGTGATGTTTTGGTTTTTTCAGTGACCTATAAAGGTATTGCCTCCTTTTGCATTTCTGTTTTGTATCGACCACACAGTTCCCTTTTATTCCAGTGTGTGAACAAGTGTGTAAACAGTGGGATATAAAGAAACTGAGTGTATAGTTTTACAAAGTGTTTGCTTGACCACCTGTGCAATTTTTGTGTGTTTGCAAAGGAGTCAGAGAAGTGCAACTCTGCACTGTGGATGTTCTTCCTTGTAGTGATGAATATTGGTACAGTATCTCATGCAGAAGGCTGGTGCTGTATTTGTTGTTCCAGATCTGTAATATCCTTCTGGATTTTCTTCTTTTTTTCTAGTAGAGGGTGTTGATCAGATGATTCCACCGTGGAAACAGGGCAAAGATATTTTAGATCAGTGATGGCGAACTTATGGCACGTGTGCCACAGCTGGCACGCAGAGCCCTCTCTGTGGGCACGTAAGCCATAAATCATCATTGAGAAATACTTATCCTGGGGGGGGACCCAAGCAAATAACCCTTGCAGTGCAGAGGCACTTGTTTTTTCTAAACTGAGAACAGTATTCAGGTTTAATTGCAGTGTTAGCACTTTGAAATAAATAAGTCGGTTTATGTTGCAGTTTGGGCACTCAGGCTCGAAAGGTTGACCATCACTGTTTTAGAGGGTGGTCGTCCAACTGTCACTTGTTACAGTTTCATTTCGAAGCAGAGCTTGGTAGCATCAACAGACCGTATCTCCAAAGTCATACCTTTTTTCATTAATCCCTGCCATGGAATGTTTTTAAAGTTTATTTCTAAATACATATTTAGACCCAAAGGAGAGGAGGTGATGAGAAGTCATTCTGTCATGCTGAAAATGCTTGGTTTTGCTCTGGAGAAGACACTTTTTGTCTTTGTTTAAAGCCATTTGGTGGGAAAGAAGTCATCCTAGTTTGTGACAAGTGACCAGTATGTCGAATCTTGAGCTGTATTTAAACTCCAAAGCAGCCTATGGGTTGCCTTTATGTATATAACATATATCACATGGTAACACTTGTTTGCTTTTTAGGCATCCTACATAACAAAAAAGCAACATAAATAGACTAATGGAAATTTGTAGTAATAAAACATTCTCATTCTAGGTTAAACTAGTTTAACAAGCAAAGAGACTGTCCCACTACACTTGAGACCTGGAATAGAAAGTAAAAGTATGAGCTGTAAGCCTGTCTTTCATGGCATAAACTTCAGGTGACTGTCTTTCAGTTTTATCCCCTTCCTTCATTAGCAGTATGGGGATGAGTCTGACACTCCTTGGAGGATTGTTGGATGGTAAACATGCAAAATGGAGGCTCCAGCAAGAAAAAGGCATCCTGCTAGCCATGTATTATGTCCCACCTCTGGTTTAATAAACTTGTTGCCATATGCTGATGATTGCAGAAGGTTAAGTCCGTCTAGCTGTTGAAAGGCTGTAATGCATGGCTGACAATTTGAATCAGGGCCTACATGTATTAATAATATACAGTGTGCAGAAAACTTCATAAATTCAAAAAGCGTAGGGCGGTTGGATATTATCTTTTTAATATGTTGGGCAGAGCAGGGAGTAAAATAGGTTTGTTCAGTGTTCAATATTTGGGAAGATATTTTAGTTCCTATAACTGGAGAAAAGGCAAGGTATTTAATTAATTAATTAATTAAGGGTTGTTGCTTTGAATCTACAAAATGGTAAACCCAGTTTAATGTAAAAATGTTACTTCCAAATGCTCTAAAATATTGGCCATTCAAAATGCTGAGTTGGTGCATCAATTGTTTTCATGCTTAATGCCCCATCTAAATTTATATTTGATAATAAAAATCTCATTTTCTCTATAGCTTAGAAGCAGTATAACTATAGCACTGAACAAGTCTTGCCAGATACAGACTGATGTTTTTCGTTTTTGTTCTATTTATTCTCATTTCTGCTGATCAAAAATGATTTTAATACTTGGATGTTGGATTTCGAACTAACACTGCCTTGCTTTCTTTCTGCTTACCACTCATCAGGATTTGGTGGGCTTGAAACAGCAAACTCCACTGCCAGTGGGTTTAATTTTGGGGGTTTCGGATTAACCGCTAGCCCTGCAGTGAATTTTAATATTGGGAATTTTGGTGTTCCTACTACCTCAACGCCACCATTCAATTTTGGTAACAGTCTGGCCAGCGCAGGTAGAGAATGCACACAAGGAATATTTATAATTACATTGTTGCTAGGAAGAGTCCAAGAATTCAATGTTAGACCTAAACCCCTACCATCACAGAAAAAAGATAAACCTAAAGTAGCAAATCTTTTTCTTTGTTTACACATTTATTTTTATGCCACCATGCTCCACCTAGGGAACCAAGGTGGCTCTCGACAGATAAAACAACAAATTTAAATACACTGTATATCATATTTTAAAATAATTAAATATACGTTGAGATTTTAAAAAGCAAGTATAAAACGATTCAAAAACATTTTAAAACCTGTAAGTTAAAAATCAGCATTTCTGAGATAACATACTGCTTAAGTGCCAGTTAACAGTTTGTCTGCTGCATTTTGAACCAGCTGCAATTACCGTATTTTTTCGTGTATAAAATGACACTTTTGACTTAAATAGACAAAAAATTGAGGGTTGTTTTATATATGGAAGGCACCTGCTTTCCCTGCATTTTGTGAAGCCACGGGGTTTAGCAAAATGGAAGGGAAGGCTCCCTTCGGGTAAAGCAGTCATGAAAGGGCTGCACAATCGCAGCCCTTTGATCCTGAAGCCCTTTCATGACTGCTTCGGGATCAAAGGGGTGCAAGGCAATCGTGCAGCCCTTTCACGACTGCGTTACCCATGTCTTAAAACCCGCAGAAATCAAATTTTCTAATTTGGGGGTTAGAAAAGGGGGTCTCTCTCTCTCTCTCTCTCTCTCTCTCTCTCTCTCTCTCTCTCTCTCTCTCACACACACACACACACACACACACACACACACACACACACACACACACACATGTTTTTATGTTCATATGCTCCTGGCAAAATTCAGCATACATATGCTGCAAATAGATCAAGATTACTTGTTCACAGTGTAAAGCCGTCACAAAGCTGACCTCTAAAAAAGGCATTTTCTATATCTTGAGTTCTTGGACTCTACTGCATTTTTGTTTTTCTTCCCTATTTCTGTGTCTCTTCATTGGGTTGCAAGTCATTGTCAATCCACCACATTTTATCAAGGTTCTACGGAGAAACCAGTTTTATACGATCAGCAAGAAAACAAGAAGCCAATCCTCACTTTTGGACTTTGAGAAACAGGCTGACTTTGACAAAAAGCTTCTCATTCTTAAAATGTTCAAAGATGCTTCTAGTCTATTCATGGTGGAAGCAGTTGATATTCTGATGTCACTGAAGTCAAATGTTCTGACACTGAATAGTTTTTGGTTCTGAATGTGCCTGATTCTCTTCAGTGCTGCAAATGTATATTTAGATCTAACTTTTAATTCTTGAGGCTGTTCGTATACAAAATATCCATTTCATAGCCCCATCATGTTTGTATTGTATTGTGCCACCGTTTCAGTGTTTATACTTTGCACAATTCACCTTAATTGTTAAAGAAATCCTGTAATCAAGTTCTCCTCCAAATAATGCTGTTCTTTTGCTTGATCTGAATGGCTTCCACAATATCAGTTTTACACTTCCTGTCAGTCTAAAAGCTCATTTGAAGAATTTGTGTCATGAAGAACTTACAGGAAAAGGTGTTTATATTCTTGGGCTATTTTAGGGTGTGATAGTTAATGTAGTTATATTCTTTTAAAAATGATAGTTATTTCATAAATCTACTTTGTCATGCTTTACCGTACAAAACTGAAATTAAGAAACCTATTCTGTGGCTCCTTCTGGGAGTCGGTGAAGCTTTTTTTTAAGGAGTGGCTTGTTAACATTGATACATATCTAATTGTATTTTAACACTATAAATTATTGGGGATTTAATTTCTTACGTCTTGTAGTCATTTGTAAGCTACCTAGGGTCTCTCTTTGGGGAGAAAACCAGCATAGAAATAAAGTAAATAAAGGGAACAAATAAATAAAGATTGAATTGGTTTGTTTACATCTCTTGAGGCTTGTGAGGAGGAAAATATTTGCCACACAAAAGAAATCATAATGATCCCCACCTTCACAGCATCATAGATCATCTGTCTCTGGATCTCCAGGTAGGAATTGCAGGTTTCAAAAAAGGCCAAGTACAGTAGAAGGTTTTTGCCTAGCAAATGAATTGGCCAGAGGAAGTGTTTTTCTTTGCATACGCTGCACTTTGCACTGTAGGAAGATGAGAAAGGTGAGGCTGGAGTAATTGAAAAAGGTCAACGCGTTCCTTCCAGCCTGGGTCCTGGTCATGCTTTCTTCACTTTGGGAAAGAAGGCCGCAGGACTCTGCACTAGTCAGTTGTTCTTGTAGTGTAGAGTGTCTCGCCTTCAGGTTTAATATTACTGTAGCCCAAGCTAACCCAAAGAGACAGGTCTTACTCCCTTATTCCCTGTGCTTTTCCCACTCGTAACTCCTATGAATGAGGCCAATGTGTGAGTACAAGGCATTTCTGGAAAACATCAACAGCATTCATTTGTGATCATTTCCCCTCCTTGAAACCCTTCTAGCATGTGATCATCTAAGTACAGTAGTGCCTTCTGAGAGCCTGGCTTTCTTTCTGACTTGTACGTTTCCTTCATCAGGGGCCTTTGGAGGATTTGGGACGACAGCGACGACCGGTGGCTCCACCTTTAGCTTCTCCGCTCCTACCAACACAGGCACTGGTGGTAAGAGCCCATTGTTCAGAGTGCATGCTTGTTTTCCTCATTAAAACCTGTGCTTGTTTTGGACATTTTGCTTGTCCGTCTGCAAATCTTCAGTCTGCGTTGTCTTTTTTTTTCCTCCCCCAAGGCCTCTTTGGGGCTACGCAGAACAAAGGTTTTGGATTTGGTACTGGCTTTGGAACGGCCGCAGGCACCAGTACCGGCCTTGGAACAGGTTTGGGAACAGGTTTGGGATTTGGAGGTTTCAACACCCAGCAGCAGCAACAACAACAGCAAAGTAAGCACATTTTTTACTAGATTTTGCTGAGTTGAATAGCAGCTTCCTTCTCTAAGAGCGCAGCATCTTCTTTCTCTTCCTTGTGCTGACCTAGAGTGAACCAGAAGAAATGTGCCAGCTTTTCATCCCTCATCGACTAGGCAGTAATCCTTTAGGACAAAGAGAGGGGGATGTTGAATTGCTGTTTCAAGTCAGTATTACAGCTATTAACTTACATTAAACTTGGTTACACAAGCAGATCATAATCTGAATAGGGTGTGGCAAGGCAAGACACACACACACCCCTCTGCTTGAGATCAAGGGCTTTCCCTCCATTGAGGATTCGTTTCTGCTGGAAACCCCCGTGATGCTCCTAAATTCCAAGGCCAGATATTGATTGTTGGTCAGTAGCTCGTCTTAGAGGAGGGTTACTTTGGAGAGAAGATCGTAGGCCAGCAGCCCTCCATCCACACCACCATTCTATCCATCTCTTATGCCACAGAATTGGTGACCAAGGATCAGCTGGTGGAACTCTTTAGAGAATTAGAATTGGGGGTTTCTTTGGGGGAGCGTTTCTATTTACTGAGCCCTAATCCACAGTATAGCGTGTGATTATAGCATTATCCTCCCACTCCTCAGCCAGGAAGGCTCCCAGAATCATTTATGTATATTCAACAGGGGAAACACAGTCTCTGTCAAGAAGCATACCATCAAGGAAGACATAACACAAAAGGAATGAGGGATGGGGAAGGAATTGGGATGGGGACAAAGCATGTCCTTGTCATTTCTCTCATCCTATCCAGATTTGGAGTGTTTGCCTTTTTTTTTTAATTCCTGTGTTCACCTTGTTAGTTTGAGGTATCTTCTGCCATATATTTTCTAATACAGTATGTTTACTACAACATACTCTCTTCAAAGATACTGCCAGCCTTGCAGACTTTAGAAGAGTGAAGATGCTCAAGAAACACTGAGCTTCGCTGAGTGCCTCCGTCAGCTCAATCCTGAAATGTTTACCCAGCTCTGAAAATTGGGTTACCTTACATTGGATCTTCTTACATTGTTGGACAACTTGGGGGGGGGCAAGGACAGTAACTTTGGATAGGCATGGCTTCAGTAGGTTTCAATGGGATTTGCCTGACCCGCTCTCTGATTGTCCCCTTTTCAGCCTTAGGAGGTCTCTTCAGCCAGCCTGCACAGCCTCCTGCGCAGTCCAACCAGCTCATCAATACCGCCAGTGCCCTTTCTGCCCCAACCCTCCTGGGGGATGAGCGAGATGCTATTTTGGCCAAGTGGAACCAGCTGCAGGCATTTTGGGGAACAGGCAAGGGGTATTTCAACAATAACATTCCGCCGGTGGAGTTCACACAGGAAAATCCATTCTGCAGATTTAAGGTACGATCGATTTGCTGTACGGACGCTAAGGTTGCCTAACATGAAACATTTGTCCCAGTGAGGTAGTTCCAGTTACTGCTAGACATTGGGAGGTAATTTCCTTGGCTGCTTTACACAGAACACTACAGTGTTACTTTTCTTGTAAAGGTAAAGGTTCCCCTTGACATTTAGTTCAGTTGTGTCCGACTCAAGGGGGCGGTGCTCATCCCTGTTTCGAAGCCGTAGAGCCGGCATTTGTCCGTAGACCGTTTCTGTGGTCACGTGGCCAGCGCGAGTAGACACAGAATGCCGTTACCTTCCCACTGTGGTGGTATCTATTTATCTACTGGCATTTTTACATGCTTTCGAACTGCTAGGTTGGCGGGAGCTGGGACAAGCGACAGGAGCTCCCTCCGTCGTGTGGATTCGATCTTACGATGGCTGGTCTTCTGACCTTGCAGCACAGAGGCTTCTGCAGTTTAACCCGCAGCGCCACCACATCCCTTACAACTTTTCTTTTACTGTTGTAGAAAAAAGGCCAGGTTCCTAGTTGAGCTGAGGATTGTGTTCTCTTCTTACAGGCTGTGGGCTATAGCTGCATGCCCAACAACAAGGACGAAGACGGCTTGGTAGCATTGGTCTTCAATAAAAAGGAAACAGAGATCCGAAGTCAGCAGCAGCAGCTTGTGGAATCACTGCACAAACTCTTGGGTTCAAACCAGACACTCACTGTCAATGTTGAAGGCGTAAAGACAATGCCAGATGACCTGTAAGTGACTGAGATACAGCCCTGTTGTCCCTTTTCTGGCTGTAAGGAGACCTGATTTTACTTCAGGCAAATGAACATTAATCAGAAGTACTGGGATGGTCAACAGATGCAACACCTTGCTTACAGGGTTGTACCTGGCTCCCTCTCGCCCTCTTTATACCAAGAATGAAAAGTGAGGTGCTGCTTCTCACCTGTCAGAAGGAGTGATGTCCCCCCCCAAAGGGGGCTGATTTGGAGATCTGCCCACGGACTGGCCCAGGCAGACATTTAGTGCACAGAGAATGATGTCAGGGGAAGAAGGGCAGGGTTGGGGGGGTTATATTTCTCATTGGTCTGACCTGGCACTCTAAATCTGTTTAGACGGAGAAGGCTTGCCATTGCTATTTTGACTGTAAAACGGGACGGGCTAGAAGGAGATCTTTGTCAGGTGTGAATTGCTCCCATATTGTTAGTCAGAAGAGGGCATTCCTAGTTTCCCCTCTTTCCTAATGATATGAGTTTTGCTGGCTTCATTTTGTGTCCTGTAAGCAATTTCCTCTTTTTGTATTGAACGATGTACACCTTGTTCCAAGTGCCTAACCGGACCATCAAATGGCAAAACGTTTTACCCAAATGAGGTGTCCTGTGCTGCTGATCTTGGGAGCCGTTTGATCTAATTGTATAAATATTCCTCGGCTGATTTAACATCCCAATTACCTATAATAATACTGCTGAGCCAGGACCTCCACATGTTTCTCTCTCTTTCTCTACATATTTGTCTTGCTTTGAAATTGTCATCTGTTGTTTAGTTTGCAGGTTCATATTAGCCAATAGCCTTAGATCTGGGTAAACATGGGCCAAAATCCTGTTGCTTAGTGTAGTAAATTGCACTAGAGTAGGCTCATTGAATCAAAGGGGATTTCATGAGTGTATTTATTCAAATTGGCTTACTTTAACTGCATAGTCGTTAGAGTAGGCCCATTTTAATCAGTGGAGCTTATAGGAGAAGTGATCCACCCAAGTCTCCATTGATTCAGTGGTCCTACTCTAGTGAGATTTACTATGCTAAGCAACAGGATTTTGGCCACTGGGATTTGTGTCCTCTGTTGCCAGTTTTATCAATACAGTCACAAGAGGCTGAGTGATTTGCAGTCAGTGTAGCAAAGCCTTTTCTCAATTAACTGATACAGTAGTATGTTTCACTATGCATAGAAAATTGTGTCTGTGTACACTTTTCCATCCATACTAAAAATATTGTGTAGCCTTTGCTGACATTGTGCAATATTGCCTGCATACTAATCAGTCATATCTGGTTTTGATCTATAAAGTGGGTAAAATAAGGTCAATGAAGAGGTGTATCGAATCTCAATATCTTTGTTCTTTTAGGACTGAGGTTGTCATCTATGTTGTGGAACGGTCGCCAAATGGGACTTCCAGGCGTGTTCCTGCGACTACTTTGTATGCGCACTTCGAACAGCCAAATATCAAAGGCCAACTGCAGCAGCTTGGAGTTACCCTCACCATGGCTAGAACTGAACTTTCTCCTGCACAGATCAAGCAGCTGCTGCAGCACCCCCCTGCAGGTACTGCATGCTGCAACCAAGCCTCTGGCTAGAGAATTAGCAAGTCCTCTTGCTATAGAGGCCGAATGAATCGTAAGTGACCCTTAGGTATGGGGGGTACTGAATAAGGTGGGAGAGACTGATGACTTCTGACGGTGTTTATTTGTGCTATCTATAAAGAAACATTAAATGCGAAGGAGTTGTCTTCTAGCTGACTTGTAAGGTAGAGGTAGCTCAGTGATGGAAATGAAAAGAAAACAGTAAGAATTTCACATCTACAGGAGGTGCCTGTAGCAGTATTCAATATGAATTTGAAACAAGGGAACCCACTCTTTAAAGTTGTGAAATGTTTGTTATAAATAAAAATAGCTTGTGCGGGTTCAAATCTAGTTTCCAACTAGAGAAATCCTACCACCAGCTGACTGGAATGCCAATAAAGTATGACTTTTAGAGGTCTGAAATGTGATAATGTGCGTGACTGCTCTCTGTGCATCCCTTTCACACTGTGGTCGCTAGTATGCGATCATAATCCTTTGATGCCAGCTAGACATGGGGCACTAACATAGGACCAAGCCCTTTATTTATTCCCTTGCCTTTTCTATCTGCAGATAGAACATTTGGAAAGAAGTTGATATTTCCTGATTTTGGGAGGGGGGAAAAAAGTATTATTCAGATTTTGAAAAAGCGCATTATTCAAATTCTCTTTCTGGTGCTTCCTACACTTCAGTAATGGAAAATGTAGAAAAGGAGGTCACATTTTCTCAAGGCCAATGGCAGTGATTGTCCATCGTAGGTTACAAGCCATGATGGGAATGTAGAATCTCCAGGCTTAAAAGGAAAGTCCCTCAAAATGCCAGATACAGGGGAGGGATATCAGGAGACAGGTGTCTTGTCTTGTGTGCTCCCAGAAACATCTGGTGGGGCTGCTGTGAGATACAGGAAGCTGGACCAGAGGGGCCCTTGGCCTGATCTAGCAGGGCTCTTCTTAGGTTCTTATGTCCCTGCTAATGTACTCCCCTCCTTTTGCAGGTGTTGATCCTATCATTTGGGAACAAGCCAAAGTGGATAATCCAGATCCTGAAAAGTAAGAACTGATTTTCAAAGTAGATCTTCTTAATGTAAATGCACTGCCTGAGTAATAGGTTGAGGTGGCATAGCTCCTTTTTGAAGAGGGATGGCGTGAGTAGAGTGATTCTTTCTGATAAGAGTCAAGTATATTGTGAAGACTGGAGCTACTAAGAGAAGTAAGTGGAAAAGAACCAGAAAGCTACACCAGGATGATCTGAAAGTCATGTTGTCCCCCCAAAAACGTATCCCTGTGCTTTAAAACAGTGCGCAAAACTGAACTATGAAAAAATGTCCCCCCCCCCAGTTAAAATGTACACATTGGGGAGAAACTATGCTAAATCCGCATATTGAGGGAAATTTGGGATAAGAATATATTCAGACACATTATTCTGCACTTATGTTTTTGGGTGGTACAGTTCGCTAAGCTGTACCACACACCTTTAATAAACTTTGATACAGTTCTTCTTTTACTGAGGTCCTTATCATTAATGGGTTCAGGATGTTAACAAATGTGTTGTTCGTTAGGGTTTAATTAAAACGATTAAGCTTTGTTGCAGGTGCTGCTACCTCTAATTATCCATTTGCGATAATCTCACAATGTTTACCTGCGATGGCCTTCACACACAGGCATGCCAGTAGTTTCAATCTATAGTTTTGTCCTCTTGTATTACTTTCAAACACACTTGTTTTCAGTGGTTTATGCTTTCAGCTGCAAGGCACCAACGGCACAGCAGAGTTTAGAGAAATAAAGTGACAAGTGTCTTATCTGTGCTTGAGCCAGGTGCAGATGATTACCAGTACAAAAATCAGCATCTTTCTCTTATAATGGGAGAGTTCCAATATCCACATCCATTCTCCCCTTTATGGTGTTTTCTGCTGCTTTTTTGTAAAGGGCTGTTTTCCACCCTGCAGTTCGATAGCAATATTTGCTAAAAGCGAAAAGCAGACAAGGCATTGCTTCTCATTTTCCACACCAACACTCTTCTCTAGGCTCATTCCCGTTCCAATGGTTGGCTTTAAAGAGCTCTTGAGGAGGCTGAAGGTGCAAGATCAGATGACGAAGCAGCATCAAACCAGATTAGATGTGAGTCTTGACATCTTTGTTTTCTTCCTTGTGAAGTCATTCTCTGGCTGATCACAGAGGTTCTTTCTCAGGGGCTGCCATTGGGAAACCATGAGTTCTGGACCCCATAAACGGTAGCTGTAATGGATTCGTATAGTCACCTGTAAGGCTTTCTGAAGGGGGTGCAGACATGCTTGAAAAGATAAGGGAAATAACAAGGGAATGGAAGAGATTGGTCTCCTCCTTTCTTCTGGCAGGGGAACATGTTGTAAGGTAGCAATCAAGAGTGCTATAGACCAGATTTAAGAACTGGGGCTCCAGCCGGAAGGCTGACAGCCCTTAGACTGCAAACTCTGAGGATGGTCTTTAGACTGCAAATAAAGAGGAATCGAATTTCTCCCCTTACCAGCTCAGGCCAGAAATTCCCATCACTACACATGTTCTCATTGGCCACCCTGACTTACTGTCTCCAGTTGCTGTAATCCATGACATCTGTTCACTTGTTGAACTGATAGTTGTGGGGTTAAACCGGGTGCCAAATCTCTTCAGTTCCCAGGGTTCTCTTCTGTTTATTGGAACCGGCTGGTTTGTTGGGTAGCTGCATTTCCTGACAAAAACAATGGCACCGTGGTTGATCACATTGAGTGCTGATCTTAGATTTTGGCATGTCGTGATCTAGGTTGTGTGTTACCATGGGAAAGGTGCTTCCTTTTAGGTAGGACAGTATCTGGAGATTCCTTGGTGTTCCTTCTGTAACTGTTTGCAGGCTCCACCCATAGTTTAAAAGGCACGTGAATATGAGGGGTGTCCAGAACATGTTCATTTCCCCTGGACAGTCAATCTACTCTCTGTGTGTTTATAGATTATATCAGAAGATATAAGTGAGCTTCAAAAAAACCAGACGACAACAATGGCCAAGATAGCTCAATACAAGAGAAAACTAATGGACCTTTCCCACAGGGCATTACAGGTAGATGTTTGCTTTCTACTAGTTCTTTCAACCGTATGGCAAAGGGTCAGTAAAATCACAAGCAAATAAGAAGTGGAAACACCCGGTTGGGATCTCTGTTCAACAAGAAAGTCACCGGTGACCTTACAGTTTTTGTTTTCCCATCTGCAGATAGGTACCATCTCTAATTCTGTTCCTGGCCATCTGGTCTTACCCTTGACTCCAGCAGTGGGAGCAGCCCCCCCCCCCCGAGAGACTCTGGAGCTTGCCTAAGGCGACACAAACTCGGCCCTGTCCCAAGAGGCCCTGTGGGGGGATCGAACTCCCAAACTCTGGCTCTGCAGCCGGAGATCTAAACCCCTGAGCTGTCTGTCTAGCCAGCAGATGTATATTAAATGTGCTAATATATATTCTTGGAATGTTTAAAGAAAAGGCGTCTTGCAGTCCCCTCCCTCGGATCGCGTTTCAGTTTCCACCTCTGACTTGTTCATGAGCAAATAATGTCCCTGTCCGAACATGCAGAAAATGTGTTTTGTATTTTTTAAAAAAAACATATTCTACCATTAACGCAGCACTTTTCATAGCCTTTTACAACGGCTGATCTGACAATAAAGGGGACAGTAAAATAATCTATGACATGTAAGAAGAAATATGTGAGTGTGTTTTCTGTGTCAGTGATGGCCTGTTTCTCTACTTGGGGGACTTTAGATATGCCTGATGTAAAGCAGAGGCCAGTGTATCTTTTCCATTTTCTCCCTGGCATCCAAGCCACTAGTCATATTTAGCATCTGGAAATCATCCAAGAGATGTGTAGCCACATCTACTGTATATATGTCCCTGCCACCATTTTCGACAGAGCCCGTTTTCTGAGCCATGTCATTCCTTTGTCCAGGTGTTGATCAAGCAGGAGATCCAAAGGAAAAGTGGCTACGCCATCCAAGCGGATGAGGAACAGCTTCGTGTGCAATTGGATACCATACAATGTGAACTTAATGCACCTACGCAGTTCAAGGTTCGTAGCTAAAGGCCTCAGGCTGCAGCCTTGGGAGACAGAAGGCGAAACTGTAAAAGATCTCCAAGTCTACACCAAGATTCTTCTCATGAACTTGAGTTTAAATGTCCATCTTTGTTTTTACCTGAACAGGAAAGGCGCTCTCTGTTTTCTGTGCCTGGCACTGCAGTTTCTCATGGTGTGCTGAAGTTTTCTTGTTCTAGATCAGTGGTTCCCAAACTTGGATCCCCAAATGTTCTTGGACTACAACTCCCAGAACTCCCGGCCAGCACAGGTGGTGGTGAAGGCTTCTGGGAGTTTTGGTCCAAGAACCTCTGGGGATCCAAAGTTGGGAACCACTGTTTTAGATGCATATGATGGTGATACCGTGTTTCTCTTTGGAAAAATCTTGAAGCATGTGACTTTGCAAAGCACCATGTTCCTCTGAATTATTCTTATTCTGCGGGGTGATGTGTTCTCCAAGACCTCTCAACCCGTTTAGGAAGGCTTACACATAGTTAAAGCTACAACGTGGGGAGGGGAGGAGGTAGTGAAGCAGGTTACTAGCTGACTTGCTCTGGAGGCTATCTGTTGTTCAGCATCTTTCCAGGGTTCAAGGAAGAAGCATTTCCCTCATTTACACATGCCACAGAATGAAGTCATAGAATAATAGTGTACAGCTTCAGACTGCAAATAATGGAATCACACTTTTTAAAGTTCCTCTGTAAAACAAATGACAATCTCGCCCATCCACATTGTGGTGTGTTAATTTATTGCAGAGAGGGAACTTTTAAGACCACAGAGGGGACATCTGAGTATCAGTCTGAAGTGGAATCACATTCTGCTGTATCAGCAAACTAGGTGTAAAATACATAATTTGGAGGTGATGACAACAGAGCCTGCTTAGATCTAGCATGTTGCTGACCTTTCTTAATCCCACGGACTTCTCTGCTTTCTGTAAGCATAAATCTTCTATTTTGTTTTCTTTTCTAGGGTCGGTTAAATGAACTCATGTCACAGATCAGGATGCAGAACCACTTTGGAGCAGTGAGATCTGAAGAGAGGTACTACATTGATGCAGACCTCTTGCGAGAAATCAAGCAGGTGTGTATTAATTGCTTTAATCAAGTTTCTGGAAACCCAACCAAGTCACAAACCCAAGTGGCTGAGGGGCTTAAACAAATTTCTTCCCTAGCTTTCATTATGCGTTGTTGACAATGAAAACAAAATACTTTATCTCAGGCCTCTGGAATGATCTATAGATTCTAGTATAGACTTCTTGTATTCTCCAAATAGTTTGAGTTGCATTTGTCTAATCAGCAGATGGTGCCTCTTAAAGCCTTAATACAAGAGTGGGCCTCGGTGTTTAGCAGCATAACAGTAGTCTTTAAGGAAGGAGAGACTGTGATCTAATTTAAATATGTAAGTTCTCTATATATTTTGGATCTGATATCTCCATTCTGTGTGGTCCTTCTGTTGTAATCATTGACGTGAAAGACGAAAGGGTCGTTGAAATACGTTTTAGGTAGCTGAGCGAATCTGTGATGGAGATCCTCCACTGAGAACCTTGGCCAAACCTTGCTTTTGAAGTTTTATTTTCAAGATGTTACCACAAATGACTGTCTTCAAAACCATAAGTTGTAGAAACATTCTGTTGTGAAACCATAAAGAGAAAGAGAGCATGTACACTGAGATTCAGAGGATGCCAATTCTGTCCCGGATGTTGATTCTCCGCTTTTTTGGCAGACATCTCTCTACAGAGCTTAAGAGCTCTGTGCTGACTACTAACAGTAGCTACAGGCCAAAATCCTGGTGTTTGGCACAATAAATTGCACTAGATTAGACCTGCTGAATGAATGGGAATTTAGTGAGTCAACTTTTCTTTAACTTCCATTGATTCAAATGAGTCTACTCTAACTGTGACTTGCTGTGCTAAGTTGCAGTTTGAGTAGGCCTATTTGAACGATTCAAATGAGTCTACTCTGTGACTTGCTGTGCTAAGATAAGTTGCAGTTTGAGTAGGCCTATTTGAATCAGTGAAACTAATGGAGGAGGTGACTCACCAAATCCCCAGTGATTCAGTGGGCCTACTCTACTGCAGTTTACTGTGCTACACAATAGGATTTTGGCCACTGTGTGTTAAATCTGTCTGTTTGAAAGTGTTTATGAAATCGGAGTTCAATGGTGCTGCATTACCTCAATTGTGCTGCATTACATGTCATGTCCTGTATATGCAAGAGAGGATTTTATCTCATTTGTTTTTCCTGAGAAAATCTTTGTGACTCCCTGTTGTCATTTTAGAAGAGCTAACTTGTTAGTCTGAGCTCTCAGGGACAAAAGTCTTCTTCAGACCCGCCGAAGCTCACATTAAAATATAGCAGTTATTCTCTAGAGTGCCACAACATTTTTGTCTTGGTGTTTTGTTTTTGTTTTGTTTTTTCATTTTTGTTTTCTTTTCGCACTCGGCACCAGCCATGTATTATTGAGATGATGGCAAAAGACTTGGGACAACGTCTTCTCAGCATGCTTGAGTGCACACTGGCATGGTGCATTGTACAAATTCAGTGTTGGTTATTCTTTAAGACATCTGCAAATCTGCTTTAAGAAAAGTGGGAAGAAGCACATACTTGGCATCTAACGGCCTGTCTGTCTTTCTCAGCATTTGAAGCAGCAGCAAGAAGGCCTGAGCCACTTGATCAGTATCATCAAAGATGACCTGGAAGATATAAAGCTGGTAGAACATGGATTAAATGAAAGCATCCCTATCAGAGGAGGTGTCTTCAGCTGATGGGTCCCTTCCTTTCTCCAGAAGCCAGCAGAAGATCCTGCTTTCCTCTCCATGACCCCGAGCTCACTAGGTGTGTTTTAAAACAATAAACCTTAGTGTGGGTTCTGAGAGAGACCACCGGGGCTACTGGCATTCTTCCCATTTTTAGCAGCATTGACCTTCATGAAGATTAGACTTATAAAGCGATGCTTGGTTTCAAAAAGAAAGACTTGAACCATTAGAAATCTGTTCTGTGATCTAAACCCATGTTTCTACAATATCAAGTTCATGTTTTGGATGAATGTATTAATATTGATAGAAAATACAGTTTGTTTTTTTTTTACGGGAGCCATAATACAAAATAGCTGGGGGTTTTTGTGTGTGTGTGCCCACAAAACATTGTTGAAACTTTCTAGATAAATTGCTTACAAATAACTCTGAGACGTGTGCTTTGTTGGGGAAACATCCAAGTGTCCTCTGTGCTGCTTTGGGGAAAGGTTATGCAAAATAAGTACAGAAGTCTCGTATCCACAGGTGATCCGTTCCAGGATCAACTGCAGATACAAGGAACCCACTGAAGACAGTGAGAGGAGATGGTAGGTGCGTAGATGGACTGTGGGCTGAGTTGCAGCAGCAAGCAACCATGGATAGCTGAAAGTGCGGATATGGGGGGGCCGCTTGCTGTATTAGTGCAAAGTGATTTTTTTTAATAGCCAGAACCATCAGCCTGAATTTTACTTCTTCAGAACTCACAGTGCCACTCATTAAAAGGTAATAAAAACAAATGTTTATTTACAGTCTGTGTGCTCTTTATTATGGAGTAAAGGTTCCCCTTGACATTTATTCCAGTCGTGTCCAACTCTAGGGCACGGTGCTCATCCCCATTTCCAAGCCATAGAGCCAGCATTT